TTAATCTGATAATGCTGACCTTGTCAGTCCCTTTGAAATGAAGCTGTATCAGCTCTTTAGCAGACTAATACTGTATGCTGTGTATATATAGTCTGGATGGCCAGTCTGGGATGGATGTGCATCACCCGTGCCTGATAAACTGTAACAGGTAAAGCATTAATATTCTGGACATATTTTTCTTGACAGTCCTTTCAAAATATGGTGTGGCCTTGATGCCTGTGAGCTTTTTTGACCACATCTTTCTGAGTTTTTACTAGCCTTATGCTACTGGAAAATGATGAAGTGACTGAACATAAATGTCTTAAATATGTAAGGTGTCTATTAGTCTGTTGACTTTACTAGCTGAAACAAACTTGCCATAAATGGTCAGAGCAAAGCTCCTGTGATGTATTGTACAACTTGCTTGGTTTGCATTGTGACAAACATGAGGAAAATAAACAGGGAAGGTGGAGTTTATCTCATCGCAGGCGTCATTACTGCACATTTATTTATCCTGAAATAAACCTTCCTTGTTCTTTGTTGTTATGCTCCCCTGACCTAACATATCACCACATCAGTTTTTTTTCCTTCCTCTTTTGAGTTTGCAGAAGCCCAATGATGCCATAAAACCACCATAAACAGCCACAACTTACTTTCCATAGCAGGCATTCTTTTCCTGTGCACAGGCTTTTGCATTGAGAATTTTCTTCTGAATCATATCTGTGTTTTGCATGAAAAAACATGCTAACATTTCCATAGTTATTCATTAATCAGTCCTGAACGGTGCAAACAACAAATGCTCTCTGCATTATTTAATACATTTATACTAAGACAAAATGTGTATGTACAAGTATTAGCGCTTTATTATAAATTTAAAAGAAACAAAAACACATACAGCCATAAACTGTTTACTATTTATTAACAAAGTTTTCTTTTTTCTGTTTAAAGAACTATTTTATTCCTGTAGCTGAGCATTCATATCAATAAATAATATTAATCTTATGTGAAGGCAGACCAAAGCCCTGACCATATTTACAGAGTGAATATTTATATAGTTTTACAACAAAATCAATGGCCATAAAAAGAAAAGAAAACTTAATGGGAAATTGAAAGAAAAAAATCCTGATTCTTCCAAAAGGCTCACTCCAACAGTCAGTTAGTCACATTATGTGGTAAATATATGTATTTAGTATGGAAGCACCAAAAAATACCCCATTATATCTTAGCATTTCAAGGAGCAATTAATCATAGAAGACTGTGACGATATTAATTGATTAATTTTGCCTCTCAAATTAGAGATATGCTTTTGTTTCTTACATAGATATCATGTGTTTTTTCTTCTTTAGAACCCTATTAAAGTGTCATGTCATTCCCAGCTATTTGGGAAAATACTGTGCTAATTTTATTCTATTCTATTCTATTCTATTCTATTCTATTCTATTCTATTCTATTATTAAAGGGTGAATAGAATGATTGTGAGATTAATTATTATAGCCATTCTAGTACTGTGCAAATCATGGACTGCTTGTCCAGCAACAGACAGCTCTCTATGAACGATTAACTGTTCTTACCAAATTAAAGTAATGTTAACATTTAGGGAGAATCAGCCAGAGTTCTGACTTGAATGTGAAACAGAATCTATGTGGAGTAAAAAAATAAGGGTGATGGTAAAGAAGCCTTCCATCCTTAGAGACTAATTTAAAAAGAGGAAGGTAGGTTTTGATTGTCGTGATCCCAATGAGACCTTTCAACTTTTTCTTCTTTTTATCAAAATTGTAAATGAAAATGACACATTTTCAAATAAATTACTTTCATTTAAAGCTTTTACATTGTAATTTATCTTTTGAGAGTTTTCTCAATGATTAAATGGATAAAAACAATTAGAAAATTAGATCCGCCAGGAGT